AAACAAGACTCCTGATGTTGGCCGAGGTCATGATCTCACAGCTGTGAGATGGAGCCCCACTCAGCATGGAGCCTGCTTGGGATTCTCTCTCCCTCCCCACTTGTGTGTTGTCTCTCAAAATAAATAAACAAACTTTAAAATTAATTAATTCCCTGTTTAAAATTCCCAGAGTGGTATGTTTTCTGAACGCCCCTCCCTTCTCCCCCCCACCGCCGCAGGGTTTAGGAATTCTAGATAGGAAATCTGGATACCAATCTTTTGATGCTTAAACACACTGCCAAGTATCTTCTTCTAGTCTGCAATGTCACAGTATCCTAGGCTTAAATTTGTTTATATCATTTTGTCACACATAATCCACTTTTCTTTGTGGTCTATGTTTATCATTTAAGTAATGATTCCTGCAAAACTGCCTTAGCTATTCTTGGCCTTTTATTTAGCCATGTAACTGTCAAGTTCTACAAAAATCTTAATGGGATTTTGACTTGATTTTGCATTAAATACACAAATACCAAGGTAGAACTTCCACCTTTACAATATTAACTATTATTTTCATCTATGAATATGAGATTATAAAAATGTAAGATTACATGAATACATTTTTTTTTTCATGTTTATTTTTGAGAGAGAGAGAGAGAACGAGCAGGGGAGAGGCAGAGTTGAGTTAGGGGTACAGAGGATCCAAAGTGGGCTCCATGCTGATAGCAGTGAACCCAATGCAGGGCTCAAACTCATGAACTGCGAGATCATGACCTGAGCCAAAGTTGGACACTCAACCAACTGAGCCAGCCAGGTGCCCCTACATGAATACATTTTCTATGCTAAACCATCCTTGTTTTCCTGGGATCAACTTTATATAGTCATTAAAATATAAATGTATTACAGGTGGCTCAGTCAGCTAAGCATCCAGCTTCGGCTCAGGTCACGATCTCGTGGTTCATGAGTTTGAGCCCCACGTTGGTCTCTGTGCTAACAGCTTGGAACCTGGAACCTGCTTCAGATTCTGTGTCTCCCTCACTCTCTGCCCCTCCCCCCCAAAAATAAACATTAAAAAATTTTTAATTAAACATTTTTTAAAAATACATGTATTTCTAGATTTGGTTTAATATTTCACTTTGAATTATTTCATAAATAAGACTGACCTACAGTTTTTTTTCTCTTGTCTGATTTTGCTATCAAGCCTATTTTATATATCACCGCTTTCTATTCCACAGAAAAGTATAAAAGAACATGAATATTTGTGTCTCCTTAAAATTTGTGTTTAAATCCCAACACCCAATGTGATTAAACCATCTCAGAGGTGATTAGGTCATCAGTGTGAAACCCCCATGAATGGAATTAATGTCCTCATAAAAGAGAGCCCTGATAGCTCCCTTGCTCTTTCTACCATGTGAGGACACAGAAAGAAGACAGCTACGTATCAACTGGGAAGTGTGCTTCACCAGGACCCAACTATGCTGGAACTATGACCTTGGGACTGTGAGAGATACATTTGTTATTATACGCCACCGAGTTTACTGTATTTTGTCATAGCAGCCCAAACTAAATACAACACATGATAAAATGGAAGACTCAAACTTGACCACATAACCTTAGTATGAATCTATTCTACAACATCCGTGCCAGGCAGCCAACCAGACCCTACTTCAATATTTCACCCTGCATGACCACACCCAAAGAGTCACTCATTCTGTTCTCAAATGACTTAAGTTTTAGATTTCAATTTTTTGAATCTTTTTTAGAAACTTCAGCCGATGACTCAATGATGCACAATCAATCCAACATGAACCAGGCAAAGAATCACACAAAACTTGGATTAAGCTGATATTCGCCCATTTGTTAATCTCTCCTCGTTGGTCCCGGTTCTCACTGGCCTCTGAGAACTAAACTGAACAGTCCGTGTGCCACTTAACAACCCATTAAATATTGGAATATCTTAAAATATATTAAACTGAAATTAAAAGAAATTTACCCATTAGACAATATACATATACTCATACAGACAAAAATTAGAAACAAAAATCTCCTGTCTAGTATTTAGAAGGATTGAGTTTCTGAAAGAGAATAAAGTTTAAATGGAGATATTTAGGAATACTCATCATAAGGACCTTCTTAAACATTACAGCCTGAAGAAACAAAGGGCAACAGAACCATTTTGCCCCAGCACCTTGCCCTCAGAACCAAATGAAAGTAAAAACCAGTGACAGAGCGGTCTGTGTGCCACACACGATGCGAAGTAATACGTGCACAGTATTACCTTATAAAATGCTCAACTGCTTCTGAGGTTGTCTAGCACTACAATCCTCATTTTACTTCTGAGCAACCCGAAGGTCAGAAGGATTAAGTAACTTTCTCAAGGTCAACAAATCAGTAAACAATGAAGCTGGAATTCTTACTCAGGCAAATCTCCCTCCTAACAGTTCTCTTAACCTTTCTGCCATATTGCTTCTTAGTCATAAATGAAAATACACACAATTCATCCAAAAAGAGTGAAGGAAAATTTCAAGTGTTCCTGAAAGAAATTAACTCAATACTAGTACTAAAATTCTCACAGAAAAAGAAAATTTAAGAAAAAAGTATGATGACTAGAAAAAGATGACAAATGCTAAGAAATGTCCTTACATGTTTCCCTACCATTTGTCAGGTCTTTCTGTTTGAGCTTGGCATGCTAAAGGGATTTAGTACAGCACCATTACAGTAGGGCACAAGTGCGTCCCTTGTTACTGAACTTCAATTAAAATGATTCTCTTAAATATAACTCCTCCAGGCTCATCAGAAACAGAATACAAAAACAAAATACACATTTTCTCTTTTGGTAATCATATCATCTTAAAGATATGTACGTGACTAATCTTTCTAGGTTTATAAATCAGTATCTCCTATAATATGAAAAAGAATCCAGCAGACCAAAATGCAGAATGTATATATTATAAAAATGCTTTTGAATAAGTATGTTATCTAATTATTACAGATTTTAAAGTTTTGCACAGTTTTTAACTAAAACATTATTTATATAAGTCAGAATTCAAATCACTTAACAATTCTGAATATTTTTACCATGTTTTGAACATTGCTGGTAGGGAGAAAGAGAAAGGAAGGAAGTGAACGGTATGAGAAAAGGTAAAAAATCACCCCAGAATATAGGGTTCATGACAGGACTTGAAATCACCTAGCTCAGTTCTCTAATTTTGTAGAAAGAAACTGAGGACTAGAGCAACTTGGTGACTTGGTACTGTTTTTAAAAGTGGGACATAATCCAGTAACCTGGACAGTGCAGCCTTTGAGAACATATTTAACATATGGCATCAGCAGATCACACTGACAGAACAAATCTAGTGCCACAACCAAAAACTACCCCACAGTCAGATGCCCCACAATGTCCCCTTCAAGACAAGGAATAGTGCTGTTTTGGCTCTCAGCCAAGCTTCAACAGATCTGCCATTCCCTTTATCTGTAGTCAGCTGCAAGGTGCTGAACAACCATTTGTCAAATTCAGTGGCAGCATTCTAGGCTCTTCTAGCTCAGGCTGGCACATGAACACCGTACAGATCATACTACTGAGTTAACTGTAAAACACTTGGTCACTTTTCATAAGTCTTGACCTTTTTTTATGATTCCTTAACACAAGCATCAGACCTTACTATTTGTATCCTTCCTGTGGAATTTAATTATGACGCTTCTCTCGTTGAACTTTCAGCATCTCAAACTGAGATTTTATTTTCTACCTGTTAATTTCATGTTCCTTGAATCGGAATGTGAATTCTCTGAAGGTGAGCACGCTCCATGGCTTAGCACTTATCTTCAACTATCTTTTCCACAGAACATGCTGTTTCTGTGATTATTTACCAGCAAACAAGCTTCTTCAGAGCTATTTCAAGACCTTCTAGCCTACACTATGAGGATATTTCATAAAAGACTGTGTAACTCCACTTTTTAAAGATTAGTTACACAGAACATAAAAAACCACATGTATTCAAATATGATGGAGAAAGAAAGGTGTAGTTGACTTTTCGTTAACGGGAGATCTTAATCTGGGATCCGGATGAAGAATGCAGTGACCTGTGAATTTGGATGGGTACCTTTTCACTAACCTCTATATGAAGCTCTACAATTCCTTCAATCAAAATTATAGGCAACAAACCATAGCAGTATTAGAAATACCTATGAACTTGTCATCAACAGAAATCACAGGTACTTTCATATTATACTATAATTATTGCAAACTCAGCACTATTTAAAACTAAAGTATTTCACCGAATTATTGCTAAAGCTTATTCTCTAATGTGAGAAGCCTATATATTATTCTATCAAAAATTTGTATGTTTAATATTTGTTAGCTGTATTTCAATATTAACTAATTTCCTTTTTAATCATATGTATTTTACTTTCTAAAAATCATGAATCATTTGTAGAATCACTGGTCTGGGAAGGGATACACAGGCTTCCCCAGATTACCAGAGGTCCAGGGCACAAAAAATAGCTGCGAACTCCTGCACTGTAACACACAGAGTCGGTGAGGTAATTACAATTCCAAAAGATCATCACGATATCAGTCTTATCAGTTCTAATAAAATGCGAGGCAAGTTTTGAAATGTAAGTATCTTTGTTTATGACTAGGAAGAGCACAGATATTTTAAGCTGATCATTTTCACTTGATGAAAACAAAGCATGGCTACAGCAAATGACATTTTCAAATACCTATTAACTTGTAATAATTAAACAATTACAGGATTAAAAATGTTTAAGTACTCAGAACCCTGTATCAGTAACTTTTTTTGTTGCTGATCTGTTCTTTACTTCTAAGACCTTCAAAAGGACCAAGACCAGTAATGGGTAGAATTCCTAAGAATGTACTTAAAAACATCTCCCTTTCTAGTGTGTGTGTGTGTGTGTGTGTGTGTGTGTGTGTAAAACCACCAGAATTATGTGCTAGACCTTTCTTGATTAACAATACTGGTAATAGCTAAAATGGCTTAAAAAGGAATTCAAAGAAAAACACATACCTCTTCTACTGAAAGAAAGCTGTAAGGAAAAAGTTCTAATTAATTTACATTCTTCCTCCTACTTTCTGTTCTAAGAAACTAAACAACACAGGGCATTTCCTAAAGATATTTTTAGCAGTTCAATATTATACAGAACATCTTCCTTAAATTATGTTTCACCAGTGAAGTTTTTTATTTAAATCATAACTTTTCATTTGTATCTGAATTATCATTTCCCCCAAAGACATATTTACCTTCAGCCAGTGCTGGTGATTCTGTTCTTGTCCTTCTATCTGTTTAAAGAAAGAAAAAAGGGAGAAAGTCTAAAACATTATTGTACTTTAAAACATGTTTAATTTTATTAAAAATTTATTAAAAATAACTTTAAGGGGCGCCTGGGTGGCTTAGTCGGTTAAGCGTCCGACTTTCGCTTAGGTCATGATCTCGCGGTTCGTGGGTTCGGGCCCCGCGTCGGGCTCTGTGCTGACTGCCAGCTCAGAGCCTGGAGCCTGTTTCAGTCTGTGACTCCCTCTCTCTCTGACCCTCCCCTGCTCATGCTGTCTCTCTCTCTCTCTCCTAGAAATAAATAAAAAAATATCAAAAAAAAAAATAACTTTAATAAGGTTTATGAATGCCATCATACATTACATGTATATGCTATATATATATATTGTGTGTGTGTGTGTGTGTGTGTGTAGGCATCTCCTTGAATTAAACCAACAACGGTCTACAGGGAACCTACTAAGAGTAAGATATTATGTAAAGCCCTGGGAAATACCAACAGGTCTGGATGCGGCATCCTAATTGCCACTCTCAAGATGCTCTAGGACTAAAATCTGTATCAAGAGAACAACACAGTGCTCATCATAGCTTATGAAGCAGGAGACAGCAAGGGAAGAAAATTAGTAATTTGTCATTATTCTTATAACAAGGGCCTAAAATTATCAGAGATATATTTCTATACTATTATCATAGTTTAAGTTCAATGTATTAAAAAGATTAGTTTTACCAAAGGTACTAAGATCCTTATATTCCATGACAATAACCTATTACTTGCCAGAGGCACATCAGGCAAAACTCAAGGGAACCATGAAGTCCTCTGCAGGACTGACTTTATGATTTCAACTCCTAAAACACTTTTGGCTAAAATTAAATGAATGATCTTACTCTAACTTTACAACTAAGAACAACTATAACAACTACAGTAAACTAGCTTAGTTCATGTAGAGTAGTATAATTACTACATTATATCTGACTAAAGTAACTAGTCATCTTTATGTAAAAATTTATTTCCCAAGTTGTTTATTCTATGACCAGAGTTCTGGACTTAACAAACATACAATCTCTATGTGCACAGTAAAATTTAGAGGAGATTGGGCACTGCCTTCCAAGATGGTAAGTGATCTGACACATTGTCTTCTAAAGACTGAAATGTGGTGGTGTATCCCTGACAGATTAATAAAAAAAAGATCCTGGAACCAATAGATGGAAATACAACTGGCAACCTTCAGCTCCACTGGATTAGAAATTCTGATAGTAGGAGGACTGAAAAAGAAGTTTCTGCCAGAAGACTCAGGAAGAATCCTGAAGCAACTATCACCTGATTCTCTTGGACTCCTTACTGGACCAGCATGCTAAGGAAAGAGTTACCATATTGGGAAGTCCTGTAAAGTGACCCTAACAACATGAGAACTTATGGCTGCTGCCACACAATGGGGACAGGAGGGAATCTATCCAGAACCTAGGGGGTTTAACTAGGGCTGCCATGCTCAGTAATAACTGTATATGAGCAGCTGCAACAATTATAGCCCAACTGGGATAAAGCCACTACAGGCATTGATCCCTTGGAGAAGGTCTGAGTCACTGTACCAGGAAAATGCCTCCACCTGCTGAAGTGCTGGCTGAAGATAAGGCAAATCTAGAATGAGTGGTAGAGGACTGCAAAAATGAACATTATTCACTAACCCTCTTGTTGTAAGTCTAATGTAGAGATGGTGGACAGCCACCATCTTGAAAACTGCGGTAGACTGGACCAAACGGCAAGTGCTTAATGGAGGATATATGATTGTATCGGACCCCTCTTACGCGCTGCCTCACATATTCACTCTAACTGAGGCATGTCCCCTTAACTGCACTCCTGGGCTCACTTTCTGCTCACAGGCTTTGCTAGAAGACATGCTTACAGGAACTCTCAGGCCAAAGACATGCAAACCCCAAACTGGAAGTGGGAAGATGCTGACACCAACACACTATGGGCAACCTGACCACTGCAGAACGGGGTCTGGTAGCCCCCTTCTTCGCACCCAGAGGCATATGCTTCATGTCTTCTCAAAGGACTTCCTCAGAACCAAGCCCCAGTTGCTCACAGATGTGACCAGGTTAATAACATGCTCTTGCATTGATTTTCCTTCCTCCCTGTTTCACTTGTCCCCATTCTCCAACTTGTTTCCTGTTAACAGGTCCCCAAATAGATGATCTGCTTAAAGTGTCTTTGTCTCAGGTTCTGCTTTTAGGATGAAACCAGGACACTTGTCCTTTGGGACACGATACTTCCTTCCTTTTCATTCTACCTCACTGGATGCTCTTTCTTAATCTCTGTTGCTAAACTTCTCTCAAATGCCCCAATGCTGACATGCCCAGGACTCAGTTCTGGGTACTCCACTCCCTTTGTGATTTCATTCTCTCATGGCTTTATGTATCAACTACATGTATCAAATTTATTTATCCAGTATAGACATTTCTCTCCAACTCCATACTCTCATAGCCACTGCCTACTCAAATTTCCACTAGATGTTTTAATAGATACCTCAAACTCAACATGTCAGAACTATTCATCTTCCCTCCCCAAACCTGATCTACCTTGTCTTTCTCAACTCAGTGATGGCTTTTCTATCGTTCCAGTTGCTTAGGCAAAAACCCTGGCTTCCTCTGCAGCTTCTTTCTCATACATCCCACATTCCACTAAACCTCTCCTTAAAATCTTCACGCCTACTATTCTAGCTCCTATTAACTCAAAGTTGAGGGTTCCGCTTTATTAGCAGCCTTAAGTCTATCTGCTATTACTTCTTAATCCAAGAGCCTCCCAGAACAGGGGCTGCAAAGTTTTAAGAGTTTGGAGTTGGGTAGAGGAACATCAGAAGCAAACAAATGTCTCTGCTTAATCTAAGGAGTGGCATGGCTATTAACATGCCACGCTAAAAATGCAGGTGATCTGCTGATGGATATTCATGTAAAACAATTTTTAAATGTCATCAACTAAGTAAGCTTTAGAAATAAACGGGAGGTCCGAAGAAACAGTCTGAGAGTTCCATCTGGTTTGTAACTTGTGCTCTAGGACTTGTCTATAATTTATACATTATTAATCTTAATCTTTTACTCTTCCCTATCAGTTAGGAGATGAATGGGAGCTATTTATGTTCAAAGCCGAACCATTCTGGCTTTCCTCAAAAGCTCTCCTTGGATCAATGTTACTACAAATGGAATGAATAAACACATTTTTACTTTTTCTGCCAAAAACAAACTTACTTCCCTAAGGCAGACCAAAGCCACCCAGAAATAAACAAAGCAAGTGGCTCGGCTGGCCATTTCATAAACCAGAGCAGAAAAACCAGTGCCACTTGTATAAAACCACAAGGAAAAAGTCTATTCATCCTAATTCTTAACAAATCAAGAAATAAGAAAACACCTGTAATTGTTTTTACCCTTAGAAATCAAATGTCAGGTCATAAATAGTATTAGATATTATATAAATTAGATAATCCAGGCACCTAAAATCCACAAACCAGAAGTTCTTCAAGTAAGTGTTAAAATTCCTTTGCCTCCAGCAAAACATAAAAACTATGACTTCAGCGCATTCTGTCAACCATATTTACAGCTTTGCAGCATTTCAAATGAGGATACATAAATCTAACTAGTTATGCAACCTATACTCGTTCCTCCTTCATTTGGGTATATGATAAAATTGAAATCAATTTGTTTAAGCTCCCCTTGACATACACAAAGTGATCTTAAAGCCATCTTAGAAAACTGAAAAACAGAAACTGAATTAAAGGGCCCATCGACCATAATTCCAGATCAGACATTAGAGAACTTATCAAACTCAACACCCGCAAAAAAACAATCCAGTGAAGAAATGGGCAAAAGACATGAATAGACACTTCTCCAAAGAGACACCCAGATGGCCAACCAACACATGAAAAAAATGCTCGACATCACTCATCATCAGGGAAATACAAATCAAAACCACAATGAGATACCACCTCACACCTGTCAGAATGGTCACTACTTCTCTTATTTAACATTAAAATTACAAGAATATGCAGCCATTTTTTGACATTCTATCTCAAGTACAGTGCACTTAAGGAACGAATATCCATGTCTGAGACACACTGGAGCTCAAATACCTGAATACAAATCTCAGGCTTCTACATCTTCTTACACCACGATAACTACTGTATGTTTAAGCACTTAAAACATGCTGTTGTAATTATCATCATTATCATTATACAAACCATACCCATTTCTAAAATACCCACTCTTTACAAATGTAATGAAAAATGAAGATCCTATAAATATAGAATGCTTTACAATCTTACCATTTTCTCCCATCTTTTACGTCATTATTAGTGACCAACTACATAATTTCTTTCAAGTCTACCAGTGACTGTTCACTGAACATCCGTTACTCAGGTCATGCACAGACTGCAAAGCCTGCAGTGGTGTCACTTCCTTGTCTCCTGCTGACAAACCCATGTGGCATTTTACAAAATGGATAACCAAATGAGGGAATATGCCAACAAAGATAAAAAGGCAGCAAAAACACAGATGTGGTAACACCGGAAGTCAAACTCTAAGGAAACATAAATGAAGCTACCAAAGAAAGAGCTGGATGCAAGAATGTGGACACTGGCACCATCTGACATGCTCGTCAGAGGGACTCTGTGAAGGTGACCTTACCAACAGGAATGAAGAAAGTGGTTATGATGAATGAAGGGATGAAGGGATGAAGATGCCCCAGAAAAAAATAACATCAGAAAAAAATATATTAAAGGAATTTGGGGGAAGCACCTGGCTGGCTTAGTCAGTAGAGCATGTAACTCTTGATCTTGGGGCCGGGAGTTCAACCCCCATGTTGGGAATAGAGATTACTTTAAAAACAAAAAACAGAAACAGGAATTCTTGGATATATTTCAAGACATGGAGAATACCATGGAGAAAATGTTGGAAGCAAATCCAAACTTAGAAGTATGAAGTACGACAATGTGGTCAAGGCATAAAAATAATGTTCACTCCC